TTATACGCCTTCTTACTATTTTAAAAGGTTTTGTCAGAATCTTCTTTAAGTCCAAATAAAAATAAAAAATCGTACACAATTCGGTAACTTAATTTTCATATTTAACTTTCATAGTCCCTAATTTTCTTCTACAATATTTTTTAAAAACTGCTCCAGTTTTTGAAGAATAAACCATTTGTTTATCTAGAACCTGATGAACCTAGATGCTTAATTGGAAAAAATAAATTCAATAGCCCAATATTTACTAAGCACCTACATAGTTTAAATAAATATGTAGATTATTCAAACGTGGTTCTAACTACTAATAGAATATTATGGATATTCTCGGTTAAGAAAAAAAAAACAGTAACTAACGTAACAAAAGTACCTACGGCACGGTAATGTAATGCATAAGTCAGTAACAAACGTCGTGAGCTTTTAACCCGGTGTTGGTATGGTAGCTAAATGTTACAAGGAGAGGCAGGTAGGTCATAATGACCCTAAAACAAATGCCACGATAAATTTTTAAACCTTTCATGTACCTATTATAAATCTATACTATAATAAAAGCTAGAGAGCAAAATCTCCTAAAAACCGAGTAAGGGGATGTAAGAAGACAAATAGAACATTTTTTCAATTTTTTTGTTTCTCTGTCTGTCTGTTTGTACGGGCTAATCTCCGAATCTATTGGACCGATTTAAATGAAATTTTGCATGGTGGTACCTTATATCCCCGGGCAATATCTTAGATACTTTTTATCCCGGAAAACTAAATAGTTCCCGTGGGATATTTAAAAAACTATAATAACTTATACAGCTTAGTACACAACAACTTATGCACCTAATTTAGTAAAATTCGGCATGCTGATACCTTATATTGCCGGTCTAACAACAGGTTACTTTTCATCCCGGAAAAATGAACGGTTTTTCGTGGGAACTAATAAATTTCTATTACTGTTTTTCTAGTATAGTAATAAAATCAAGATAAATGACTTTAAAAACTGAATTACGTAAAATAAAAGATTTTTTTTCAATGACGTATATTTATATAAAACAATAAATAATTAGATAAGAATTATGATGAATAATAAATTATCCACGTGGTAATTTCTATTAGAGTTTTTAGTATACATTGATTTATCAGTGACGTCACTACTCGGAGATCAATAAATCAATTCATGTACATTACCTGATACAATAAATGCAAACACTAATATTATTAAACAATAAACATGAATCTTTTAGTTTAGTTATTTAGTAAATTATAGTATACCTACTAGCATTGCCCGCGGCTCCGCCCGCATTCAGATGACCAAAACCCAAATTATTAGGTTTTACATATTATTATACACTTACATTGCAGTTTATGTATTTTTTCTCAGAAATTAGATATTTTCTCCCGCGGTGAAAAGTATCCTATATATTGACCCGGATGACCAGCTATCACCTATACAAATTTCATCAAAATCGCTCCAGTGGTTCTTCTGTGATGCGGTAACAGACAGACAGACAGACAGATAAAAATTCTAAAAAAGATAGATTCGGCCTCTATATCGATAATAATGTCGATTTCAATAAGATTTTCCAAAAAAAAAAAAAATGTACAGATGCTGCTTAGTTACAATTATATTATACTAGCATTGCCCGCGGCTCCGCCCGCGTTCAGATGACCAAAAACTAAATTCTTAGGTGTTACATATTAGTATACTCTTACATTGCAGTTTTTGTATTTTTCCTCAGAAATAAGATATTTTCCCGCGGTAAAAAGTATCCTAGGATCGCGCGCTACATCGCCCGGTTTATATAGCTTGAGCAGGCGGTCGAGCGATGCGGGGCAGAGGGGATGGACTCGCCGTAGGCATCTCAATGCTCGCCAAGCATTAAAAATGTTTCGCTACTAATTACTTCTAACAACGATATCTCAAAAACTATTCATCTGATTGATTTAGTGTAAAGAGCAATTTTAATCTGCATTAAATGACTAAGCTAACTAAAATATTCATTTGGATAAGGATTAATACCGAACTAAAGAAAATAACTTTGAAAATAACGTAATGTTTTTAATTAAAAATGTTAACATAAAAGTGGTTATTGTAAGTCAACCGTAAGAGATAGAGATATGCTATCGCGGACTTTTTTGTAGCATTTTTATAGATTTTGAATTCTCTAGTACATTACTTAACTGTATCTTTGCTAGTTTACGCGGCGTTCGCGTGGAAAGTTCCCATTTGGCGAGATTTTTTGCGACCTCTTCAACATTTGTCGCCGTATTTCAGCTAATTTACATAAAAGCATAATAAATTATATACCTAAACCTTCCTCAAGAATTACTCTTTCTATTGTTGAAAACCGTATAAAAATCCGTTCAGTAGTTTTCGAGTTTATCGCGTACAGACAGACAGGAGGACAGAAAGACGCGGCCGGGGGACTTATTTTTATAATAAGTATAGATGTATAGATGTCGTGTGTCGTGGTCGCCAACTAAATGAAATGACACATGTACACGGTACACCACAGGTCAAAGCTAGTAGTAAATATGACTAAACAGTAATTTGATCAATTATTTGTTGCGCACAGTACTCGTTTTTCGATGATTAATAAAATTGTATTGTTTTTAAATAAAACTATCTTTTCGGATTATTTCGCGGATTTATTTTGATTTTTGGTTCCCGACGTTTCGAATGCTTTACAGCATCCATGGTCACGGGAGAGACTGAGGTGTTACATATCTTGAAGGTATAGTTGTTACAGACACCCTACCCACAATTAACAAAATGAAATTTGCACCAATTACCTTACAATATTTTTTAACTTTAAACATTTTTATAGTTTTAATTATAATTGAATATGGAATATTATTTATTTAATTTTTGCTGTTATTCTTATAATTATTACAATTTTTAAAATATTAATTAGTAATCTATATTTAGTGTCCATGGATGCTGTAAAGCATTCGAAACGTCGGGAACCAAAAATCAAAATAAATCCGCGAAATAATCCGAAAAGATAGTTTTATTTAAAAATATCAAACATTCGCTTAAATCTAAGAAAATTGTATTGTTGTTAAGCAAATGGGTATACATACAAACTTGGAATGTAAACTGCAATTACGGTTTATTACCTTTATTTTAAAAGTACTTCATAAATATGAATATAAATAACTGCTTTGAATAAACACTTTATTTAAAATAAGCATCGTGATGTATCAATAGAGTGGTATCAGAATACAAGTGTTCTATGTATAACAATAGATACTTTATGTATACGATACACGATATGACAGGGTCATATGTAAAATATGGCTGTTATTTAGCTGTATTTCTATTAGTCACACTGTTTTAGTTTTTAGTCGTCATATTTATGTAGTTCATTAAATGTTAATAAGTCAGTATGACCCCCCCAACGTGCGTTCACCTTGTCGTTGGCTCAGTAGTGCCCGGCAATACAGCCGGGCGCGAAGCCAAGAAACGCACAGGGAGTTGGCCCACTTCGGTGGGCGGTGGGAGGTGGCCCTCTTCGGAGGGCGGTGTACCATGTGGGTTGCTCCTGGTACTTCTCTGATAGCAGAGTGGACCTTGGAGCAACCCCGTGGTTGTTGTGGTCCGCTTCGGCAGACTTGCCGTCGGGGCGTCGTAGTTGAATGCATAAGCGATCCTGCGACGCCCCATTAAGACGGGGGAAGGCTTTGTTGGGTTTTAGTGGGTAGTACTGGCTTTGCCGGTGAGTTCCATACCTCGTGCGTAAATGCATTTCCTAACGTTAAAAAAAAAGTTAGTATGAGAGGCATGGGCACCGAGAAGGGTGTGCAAGGGGGTGAAAGGAGAATATATAAAGTTAAAGAAATAAAATTATATGATATGAATAAAAATTATAAAATGAATCATTTATAGATTAGTTATAATGTGAGGAAGCAGATGCACCCCCCTGGAAATAATTCTGCTGCCGCCCATGATGAGAGGGTTATGTATGGTACACATCGATCAAAAAAGTACTAGATCAGCGACAAAAAATGTCCTCAACAAATAAGCGCTCTTTTAATATTTTCTTTGTGAAAACTGCTTTAACCATTGCATTTAAGGTTCAATTTACATTGTTGTATATTTATTTCAACTAGAATAATTACCTAAACACAAATAGTGACAGTTGTAAGAGAACTTTTGCATAGGATTGTGTATCTACTCTAGTACTTTTCTGATCGATGATGGTACATTGCAAATGTATGTAAATGTAATAAAAATAAAGTTAAAAGTAAAAATGTGGGTGTTATTTCTTTTTTTATTTCGATTATGTTTGTACATTTTTATTTGCGATGTTGTAATTATGAACTGCTTGTTTGGCGATTTTGTTTGCGACAACACAGTGAGGACAATGATTTTAAAAATTCAATTCCACAATGACTATAAATTATAATCATTATCACTCATATCTATTACATATGGATAAAATTTCTTCCAAAATTTGTTAGTAACACAAATTTAAACATTATAGGTTCTTTAGGAGGAGAGGTGAACTCTCAATACGAATGTACTCAAGGATAATTGTTTCACGACATACGTACATATATGTTTACATTAGGCACATTAAAAAAAGTATAAGAAAGTAAATCTTTTATGAATATAAAACATAAAACATTTTAATGTAATGTACAACATATGTAGTTATTACGTATATAGTTTTCGTCGCGGTTCCTTTCACGCGCGGTATATTCCTTTATATAATAATTGCTTTGTTTTTAACGGTCTAGCATAATGTTAGAGCCAGTAACCTCAAGAATACTGTAAAAAAAGAGAGCTTTTCAAATCTGACTGGTGATTAAGATATTAGAGGGTCCAAGAAACTAAAACAAACTCTTTATTTTTATAATATTAGTATAGACGAATATAATATAGGTATAGTGTAGATACCTACGTAATTTATTACTCAGTAATGATATATTTATTTCTTTCAGCTTTCACCTTGGAAACACTAACTAATATTGGTTGAGGAAAAACAGTTGCGTTGCTTGACCATGACGCGACAAAAATGCCTCAGTTCATTCAAAGGCGCAAGTACTTTATAACGTCTATGGCACCCAGCAATGCTGCGCGGCTTTTCCTAATTATCACTTCTATAAGCTTAATGATATCTGTTATATGGATACAGTTGATTGAAAAAGAAGACACGTCCAGTTTAGTTACGGAAGCTCTGCAAAATGTTGCACGAGATCACAGATATGCCGAAGTGTATAGGAAAGTTGAAAGATTGCAGAAAGATACTAAATATATACTTCTGTGGACGTCGTACGAATTTTCCCCATTCTATTATTTTGGTAACGGTCAGAGAGCGTTTATTGATAAAAACTGTGAAAATATAAATTGTTATGTTACGACGGACAGAAACTTTTTTGATGGAGACACGACAAAATTTGATGCCATAGCCCTCAATGGACGGAATATTGATACACTGACAAAATCGCAACTGCCTGCATATCGGTCTCCACATCAAAAATTTATATACGTTAATTCAGAATCCGCCGACAACTATCCAGTGTGTGCAGATATTTTTGATAACTTCTTTAATTGGTCTTCTACATACCGTTTAGATTCTGATGTACCATTTCCTTACATCCAAATAAGGAACTCCAAAGGAGATATTGTAGGCCCGAAAAAAGATATGAAGTGGATTGAAAATGGCTTTGTATTAGATGAAGATTTGGAAGCAACCATCCAGAATAAAAGTAAAGCTGTAGCTTGGTTTGTTTCCCATTGTACTAGTAGGAGTGGTCGAGAAGTTTATGTGAAACAATTACAAAAAGAATTACAGAAATATGGTTTCACAGTGGATATTTATGGTTCATGTGGATCGTTAAAATGTCCAAAATCTAGGAAACACAGTTGTAATTCGATTTTGGAAAGGGATTATTATTTTTATTTGGCGTTCGAAAATTCATTTGCAGAAGACTATGTGACTGAAAAGCTGCTCACTGCATTACAACATGATGCTGTCCCTATTGTTTATGGGGGTGCAAATTATTCCAGGTACGTCATAATTATGATTATTATGGTATATTTTTATTTTTGGGCTTAGACCTATTTATATTATGTACCAAACTCAGTTTTTTAAGAAGGTGGGTATAAGCTAACATATTACAGTAGGAATGGTGTTTTAAAAATATGTAACAAAAGTCATGTCGATAATCTAAGAGTTAATAAACGCGGCAAAAAACACGAATTAATAAAAGCGGCTAATAAGCCACATGGTAAAATTTGTTGTGATAATGGCGGACGAGAAAAAAGCTACCTTCTGTCTCATATCTTCCCCTATTTACGTGACATTAGCGATGTTACCTGTGCTCAACTGACACGTTAGTTTTATTTCAATTTTACTGGCGATTAATAAGAAAATTATATTGTAAAAGAACTACTTTAAAGACACAATTCTTAATACGAACATAGTTTGCAGTTTTTATGAGCAGTTGTTGATTATGATCAAAATTTTATAATTTGAACGTATTTATATTTACAATTATTTTACCGTCATAAAAAAGAAGGCCGCAACTTCGTCAAAGTTGATTTCGGGATATTTGAAGTTTTGTCTTAGTACTTAGTAGTAGTTTTGACTTAGTTTCATCGTAAGTGGTTACGGTCTCCGGATTCATAATCAGCACTTAAAGCTTTATGAGTAAGACTATCAAATAGCATTTTTTTCTGATTCCGAATCTGCATTTAAGTCATTTTTGACCAAATTGTTAGTTAGGGCCTTCTTTATTATGACGGTAGCATTATAGTTTAGTATTTTAGCTCAAAAATTTAAACAATTTTTTAAATTATATCTCAAATATATAATTTAAATAACATATGTGTATGTTCTATTCTAACTATTGATGTATGCAAAATAATGTAATTGTAACCTTCAGCAAGATCACGACGTTTACTCTATACAGAGTAAAAATGATACAATATAATACAACATCTTGTTTGTGCAGGTTTCTTCCACCAGGGTCTTATTTGAACGCTCAAAATACCAATCCGAACGAACTTGCGAAAACTATAGTCGAAGTAATGTCATCAAAGGAAAAGTATAAGAAGTTCTTTTATTGGAAGTTATCATACACTTACCACGATCCGAGCACTAAAGATAACGTGTGTTCTCTTTGCAAAGCACTTAATGATAGGGATTTTGTTAAAAAACAAGGTATTTATAGAAATTTTAGAAAGTGGTGGAATCCAAAATACGGGGACTTATGCAGGGTATGATATCACGGTCAAAAAATTCCAAAACACTGCCAATTTTGTATTATTAGTTTAGAGTGAAGAAATTTTGAACTTGAAAGGAAGTCAGTAATTTTAATTGTCTTTCAATTATAAAAACTGTTAGTGATAACGGTTTCTTATCAATATTCAATACGTATACGACATGACTATCCCTTAGTTTTTGGTAGTATCTATTTTTTTCTACTACTTTAAGCTGTCTGACAGATAGTCATTTCTAAATAAAAAGATAAGATATAAATTATACATATATAGTAGTGTTATTCTAAAACCATTACTTTTAATAACCATCTGGAAAGTGGACTGGATACCGTTCCAGGAAAAAATCTAGATGGAAACGACTGATTCATTTGAATAAATCGATTAATAACTACATAGTATATGAGAACAGAATGGATCCCCATAAAAGTTCCGCTGTAGAAAATTCTTGATTGACTTGAATTTCCTATGTTGCCCTGATTATTATGGGCGTTAGTATCGGCATGTTATACTTATTAGATAATAGGATTGCTATGTTACTGTATATAAAATTTGTTACAATATATAAAAGTTTTTATTCTTTATATATATTTAATAATCACCTTACATCTCGGGGAAATCAAGAGTTCCCGAGGTGTTTGTGAGAGAATGGAGGTTTGATTAGAGATTTAAAATATTCATTATAATAAATATTTTAGGAGATAATCAAACGATCTTTAATGGCATATGCTTAGCATATTAAATATATCTGCTAATGTTACATGGTGTTCTCGGTATTCAGGAAAGTATGTACGAGTATGTTCACTGTATAAATCCTAAAATTATCAAATGTCGTTTTGAAAAATGAACAGCTTTATTGAAAACTAGCATTGCCCGCTGCTCCGCCCGCATGCAGATGACCAAAAACCAAATTCTTAGGTTTTACATATTAGTATACACTTACAATGCAGTTTTTGTATTTTTTCCCAGAAATGAGATATTATCCCGCAGTAAAAAGTATCCTATATGTTGACCCGGATAACCAGCTATCATCATACCAAATTTCATCGAAATCCCTCCTGTGGTTTTTCCGTGATACGGCAACAGACAGATACACAAATATTTTAGAAGCTGTGGATTGGACTTTTGCAACGATAAATGGCATTTGGACTGTATTAAGATTTTCCAAAAAATATGAAATGTACAGATGCGGCTCAGTAACTGTTTTATTATACGAGTACGTAGGTATAGATTAGTGCATATTGTAAATATAATGCACCAGAGATAGTTTATTTTAGTATATAATAGTAGAAATAGTTATTTTAAAGTACTTAGTAGGTATTATTTGTTAACTTGTATTTAATCCGTTACTTAAACAAATAATGTACATATGCTTCATATGCATATGAGCCGCTGGCACAAATTGACATAACTCTAACCTAAATTTTATGTAGAAATGTTTATTTGTAAAGACTTGTTTCTAAAATAATGTTTAAGTAGATTTATAATTTTTCGTCTCAATAATGATGTATATATACTATGTATGTTGTATTAAACTTCAAAATAAGCGTAAACTCAATTCGGTTATACTTTGTACCTTTGTTGTACTATATATATATATATATATATATATATATATATATATATATATATATATATATATATATATATATCTCTTCTTGTGTATGTTGAATTATATCATACTAGCGACTCACCCTCGCTTCGCTCGGATTCATCCCTAGGTTGCTTCCCCAAACTTTTATCCCCATATTCACCCCCATAATAAATGTTTTACTATAAACACTATGTTTGTCCTTCTGTCTGCGCTATGTCTTTCCCAGGGTCTCAAACTATCTTCCTACCAATTCATCTAAATCGGTTCAGTAGTTTCGGAGCTTATTCGATACAAGCAAACAAGCAAACAAAAAAATCTTTCTTCTAAATAATATTAGTAATATTAGATATCATGGTCAGTGGAGAATCGATTTTTATAAAAAAAACAATATTTTTTTATACGCCAATATTTCATATTCATTTTAAGAAAACATCTCCAGAATGTGTAATTATTACTCACTAACCCCCCGTTTATGTAAATATATATTTATTCATATATACTTTATGTAATTTATATTGTAAAAGCAATTTATAGGGCTGAATTATGAAGTAATTTTAAAATTTTTTTTTTGCGACTTTTGGGCTAAGGAGCCTCATTTTCATAAATAATCCATGCTCAATATGTTAATTGTCATAAAAATACCCAAAGAAATTCATGTCATTTACACTGTGTACAAACGTCAGCTTTAATTTTTGTTAAGTTATTCGTTGTTATTATTTTAAGGCCAGCCAAATAAGAAGTAGATCTTCGAATTAAAGTGTATTTTTTTTGTTATTTTCTGTATGTTGCAGTTCTGTATCTATGCAACAACTATTGATTGTTATTAGTGGACAAACGACAATGCCAAAAATTAGTATTCTATAAACTTGTAAGTTTTGTTACGTCTGAGTCCATACGTCCAATGCAGTGCACATTTTTAGGGTTTCGTAGCCAAAGGATAGAAACGGAACCCTTATAATTTTGTCATGGCCGCCTGTTCGTCTGTCCATTTGTCCGTAAGTCACAGCCATTTTAGTAGGTGACTAATGTGCCGCGATTCCATAATCCAATTATAAAAAAATAGTAAAACATAAAAAGAAATAGAGAGTAGAAATATATGTAAGTTAATTATGGATTTTGTCCCCTCTCCACTTTTTGAATATGTCGTAGAATATACTGAAAAAATTGAAGAAATACAGCGTCTAAAATACTTTCCACGAAAAATATTCTTAAGAAGCTAATTTGAGTAAACTTTAGATGTGATATTTTTGGTTCCATGTTTTATTATATAACAATTTGCTTTGTTTCTTATAGAAATATTATGAAATACAGTCTTATTTATGGTGTCATAAAATTAGTGTTGTAAATGCTACGGAACCCTCATGTGAGAGTGTGATTCGCACTTGCTTTATATTATAAACGTAGAAATTGGGAGATGTTATTTTATGTTTAGAGATGTCCATCATACAACAATTGCCCAAAGTGTGTTCGGTTTGCTTGATATAGGAATATCCGTTAAGTAATTTAGCAGTGTAAGGTTTCTGCAATACAAAAGATAAGTAAACGGTTCTATAGGCACCTATGCACAAGTATTTATTCGAAAAAATTAGCCCGCAAAAAATCATGCCGTAGGTACAATGCCGCGTGAAACCAGCCTTAGTCTTTGTTCTGTTACATCTTTGTTTAAATAGTCAAGATATTTAAGTTATTGTCTTTATAACAAATGATTATTTGTTTTAGTTAGTTATTTCTATAAGATATATCTTTTACTACACACATTGTCACACAGTTTCACATTGTCAGCGCTTCTAACTCATTTTTATATTGTTAAAAATTTGACCGCTACAAAATTATATAGGTTTATGACACATTTTGTTGTAAAAATCCATTCTATTCATTCCGAGGTCTATGGCTTTTTACCGTAAGTACTAGGTAGGTATGTATATGATTATATGTTGCATTTCTATATTATGTTAATGGCAATGTATATAATATCGCGTCTTGGACATTATAGATATAAGATTTAATATTTATGATGTGAAATAATAAGAATGATAAATATAAGAAGTTAATTGTCTTTTCTTATATTTTTTTGAGTACCTAATAGTTTATAGTATTGGTACGTAATTAAAACATTATAATTTTTTTTCTATATAATTTATTACCAATAACGGAAATTATAAAAATACTTAATTATATATACAAAACAAATGCTTAATACTTATATGTATATGTCGCAGGGAAATTGAAAGATCTGTTAAATTATAATTTCACTAGTAAAACTATTTTAATTTGTGAAATTATAATTACCCGGAGTTTTTTAATTTTAATACAAGTAATAACTATTTATCTATACTAATATTATAAAGACCAATCGGTGATCGATTCACAATTTCACTAAATGTGCTTAGTAAAATTATAATTTACTTACATTTGTCCCGTTTAATTGTATATCCGATTAATTATAATTTGACTAGTGAAATTATAATTTAACGAATCTTACAATTTACCTGCGACATATATACAAAAAATACACTTAATTATTACTGTACAACTCATGTCAAAGTAGAATAGTGGCAAAAATGCCGATTCTATGGGCGAAAAACGAGCCAGCTTTCCTGTCACCAGTAAAGGAACTAATAAAATAAAACAAAACTTACATAATTAAGGGCGTTTTAAAACTCGGAAAGGGCCAGTATTATTGCCACTAGGCATTAAATAGAATGCCTTTATTCTACACATTGCCAGTGGCATGTTCATTAGACACTGAATACTTATTTCTTCGAATTATATATAATTAAAGAACAGGTATTATATATAGGTTATTTTCTATTGTAATGCCACTTTCTGTTTGACGCTTCATTTTTTTTTAAATGTACATAGACTATAGTGTATAGTTCTTATTATGTTTTTAAAGTTACGTCTATTTATTATATAAGTGAAAAATCCACCTTATAGGCTATAATAACTTTATAATGTTTTTTAATTACTATTTTATAACAAAATTTTAATTTCAATGATTTAATTAACTTTGTTTACTTTATAAATAACTTTTGATGGAGTAGAAATTAATTCTTATATTACGTCGTGAGGTAAATTTAAATTATATGTAAATACTTATTTGCAAAATAATAATAAATAAGTACTAAGTAGTAAGAATAAAAACAACACACTTGATGTTATTAAGTGGTTAAGTCATAACTCTCAACTTCACTTATAACGCCTTATCTTGTTGATATCTACATATAAGTGTTTGTAATGTAAATGATATACATATTCACAATAAAGATTTTAAAACTTTATATAGGTACTAAATATTTTTTATTATCTCGTTTGTTTTATTTTAACAATCCCTGGTGTAGTGGCACGAATGTTTGTTTCCGCGTCTCTAGTCGAGAGTTCAATTGACGTTTGGGACAGATATTTCAAT